AAAAGTCGTGAAGACTGTTTTGCTTTATCAAATGATGATAGAATTATAGTCACTACTAGGACTAGGTAGGTGCTATGCCTGTTGAAAAAATATTATGATGAACAAGAATAAGAAATCTCTGTCTTGGCTATGCGCTAGGTTCGACTTTGGGACGTTCTGAATAGCTGAAGCGGCATATATATATATACTGGAGATAAAGCGACTATGCCATGAGTTCCTCATATCTAGCTTCTGGTAACTTGTATAAAAGAAAATCCAGATGACTTTTGTATTGCTTTATTACGGCGTCCGTGGCATCCCTGCTAAAGCATTCTCCGACATGATTAGTAAAAATTCCTCTGTGATTGCACGCTATAGTAGATATCACTTGCAATAATTTTATAGTGGAGTCATAATAGGGATTTTTAGCTTGAGAAAACTGTCTCCAGTCTTGTTTGCTTACTTTTTGCAATCTCTATTTGTAGATTTTAAATTCTCAATTTATAATTATTTTATATGTTGTTTTTTTAATACACAACAATGGGCAAATATATGCCTAGAATACGACACAACCCACACTTAACGTGTATAAAATTTTACCAGTAGAAAAACAACCTTTTCAAATAAAAGAAATCCGTCTAAAACATCGCTTAAATTAAGCTTCGTGTCTTTTATAGTAATTATTTACTGAGCCAGGTGGCTTTGTTTGTTTGTAATTAAGCACAAAGCTTTGTGCCTTAGGTTTCGTGTAAACACGTGTTTAACACGCGTCGAGTACAAAAGCTCAGAACAACATCGCGTCTTTTATGTATTTATAACCGCGTAAATCAACTTTAAATGTTTTATATGTTTTATACATTTAGTATATTTGTCTAGGTTTTGGTGGAAAATACCAAGCCAATTTTGCTGTAGATTTGGGAAACGATAATATAAATAATAATAAGAAGAACAAACTGGCAAATTTTGATTTTGTCTACAATCGTGAAATCACTTATTTTGCTTATTATCAATGTTTGAGTGGTCTTAACTATTAATAATGAACGTTTTGAGAGTTGTTTCAAGAATAAGTCCCATTTTTAAGGTGGTTTTTGCTTGGATATTCTATTAGAGTTTTGGGCAAATTCCTGTGTGATCCATATAATGAACCACGATAGTGGTTCATTATATAAATACATAATAATTTTATATCGCCGAGAAATAGCACTCTTGCATAATTTTTTCTTATGTTTGTTTGGATAACTGAAAAGCGGCATATACACCGGAGACAGATCGCCTGTGCCAGATAGCTCTTCTTAAGCACAAAGCTATCTGTGCTCTGCCCACCATGGGTATCGAAAACCGATTTCTAGCGTTGTAAGTCCGCAGACATACCGCTGTGGCACTGGGGGGGATTTTCTTATGTGAAAAATTAGAAATTTTTATAATATCAGGGTGACCGATAATAGAATTGCTGGTCCTGTTATTAATAATTGTTTTATGTTGTGTTATTATTATAATGTGGAGCTAGTGTAGTTCTTTAAATCAACCGCGTTAAATAGTTGTTATATGGTTTACCAATAGTAGTAAAAAAAGAAGCACAAAAAGCACAAAAAAGCAAGTATTTTACAAATTACAGGCCACTTTATACAGATGACTTAAACATTCAACTTAAACTCAATAGTAGGTTAATCAGTATTTGTTTTGAATTTGTTATGTTTGAAACATTTAGGATTGTAAGTAAAAACTATGGTAGAGACTCAATAAAAAAGAAAAACTCATTATAAGATATGAAGTATCCTGCGGAATTATGGGTTTTAAACAAAATAATGCCAAACATTGTCGGAAGGAAATATACATTTTGATAAGTAACTGTTGGAGGGAAATAGACATTTCAATGGATAAAAGTATAAAACAAACCATCAAATGTAAAGTGTATTTATTGTTATGCACGAAGTTCCACAATAATTTATGTATGCTATGTCTCACGCGGGGATCGAACCTCGAATTAGTGTTATCGTCTCTAAAGCTTACCACGGGAAGGGGAGGGGCAGAGTAATATACAGAACAATAAAATTGACCATACAGAGTTTGAAAACTGTATGAGTGTGTAAAGTGTAACTTTGGTTTGATTTTAATTTTGCGCAAAGATATACGAGGGCTATCTGTGCTAGCAGTCCCTAATTTAGCAGTGAAAGAGTTGAGGGAAGGCAGCTAGTCATTATCACCCACAGCCAACTCTTGGGCTACTCTTTTACCAATAAATAGTGGGATTTACCATCACATTATAACGAACCCACGGCTGAAAGGGCGAGCATATTGATGTGACGGGGATTCGAACCCGCGACCCACAGACTGTGAGTCGAGCGCCCTAACCACCTAATCATGCTGGGCCATCAGTATTTGTTCGGTATTTATTCGTATTTATTCGGTTCAACAGTAGTAGTATTATAGCATGCAGTTCGTTAACTCTGTAGTCTTTCAAATGTATTGATGGTAGTGCATTAGTAATGTGCATTAGTGCATTAGTTTAACTGGACAACATCTAGATTGTTGTATAAGTAGTCTGTGACTTTTTTGTACATATATATATATATATTGATTTTATACGTAGGTGCAGTTTACCTTTAAATACGAACAGAATTTTTCAGTAAAAACAGCATTTTTACAACATTAAGTTTGCAAGTATTACTGTATAAATTTATTTATTTTATTTTATTTTAAAGCCAAGACAGAGGTGTACTATATATATATATTTAAAATGCATGATAAGTTTATTAACCACAATTATGTGACAAGGTCGAAATTTTAAAATAGAGAGCTCGTATCTAGAATCTATCAAAACTAATCAGGAATATTAACACCTATACACCACAAGAATGTGTCCACAGTGGAATCTAATACTAAAAAAAAAGTCTACAGCAGTATGAAATTTATGCTTCTTATTTAAACCAATTTATTTAGAAAAACTGTGGACGTTTTCCATTGTTGATATTTTGCGTTGTACTCAACAATAACAAAAAATAAAATGGTTTGACGGCCATGTAACATAACAATGTGTACAAGCAATGCGTTTTGATGTTCCAGATCAACAGTAACCATAACAATTTAAACATAAATGCCAAAACTAT